TCCTCAATAATGAAGAGAGTGTAAAGCCGTCCTGGTCCACGATGGCCAACAATGCCACCTTCATCTTGCTGTTGTGTCATACCAGGTGATGGCAAATCTCTAAGTGTTACGAAATACGCTTGGACTGCCCTGAGAGCATCTCTACTGGCGAGGGTCTATGGGATATAATGTATTTGTCCAAAATGCCAGGTGGAGAATTACAACTGGCTCCCAGTCAAAAATTAGACCGCACTCGGACGCGGGTCTATGCTATTGATAGATGGAGCCAAAAAGGGACCCCTCTCCACCAGTAACGTTCTAATGGTCTATCTTCTGCTCTCGCACGCCGGCCGCTCACCTCCCTTCTGTAGTATAATGGCGGTCGCCAGCTATGAGATAGCTCGAGGAAGAGGTAACAACCAATAGGGGGTGTCCCACGGTAGATCAGGACCGTGGTAGACCAAAGGGGAAGTACGTCGGCCGACTGTAAAAGCACGACGTACTGGTAGAAGTGCGGACCCGGAATGGGACCAGCATTGGAAGGGGTGGTGTAAGAACACACAAAACAGGGGGGAACCCGAGCCTAAAGTCTAGTGTGAGACACGGGCGGAGCGCCGAGTAGCGGAAACTCCTAGAGGGAACGAGCGGGACAGATGTCAATAGTACCGCCAAGGCTAGAGGCTTGTCGTAGCCCGCGACTTGACAATCGTCACAATACAGGAAGAGAGAAATAGGTCGTGCGACAGTAATACGCCCTGGCTAGAGGCCAGTCTTAGCCCGCGTGGTCGCAACGACAGAGTGAAAAGGAAATCAATTGAAACGTCGGGCGACAGTAACACGCCGAGGTTAGAGGCTGGTCCTAACCCGCGTAGTTGCAAGGACGGAGGAATGGAAAAGGTAAAGTAAAGGCAATAGAAGCCAGGCAAACGTCGCAAGACAGATGCCGACAATGTTGCCTAAGTCAGAGGCTTGTCTTGACCCGCGTTGTCGCACCGTCGAAGGAAATCCCTTCCCAAAAGATCCTTGACTGTTCACTGCCATTGCCCGGCGCCGTCGCTTAAATAAGCGAGGTCGCGGGGTCTTGGACACTGTCCATCCTCCGGTACTACTGTACTCTATCGTGCAATGCACTGTACTATGCCATTACTACGGTACCTTATCATATACAACCTCCGGGCTGTACTGTATACAGTACGTCATCGGCCTGTAATTCCCCCGTGTAGTTCGTCCGTCTGTAAGGCACACGTGTCGTCCATCGGCCTGTAATGCCCACGTGTAGTTCGTCCGCCTGTAAGGCACACATGTAGTCCATCAGCCTGTAATGCCCACCTGTAGTCGCGCGTCTGTAAGGCACACGTCTGTAAGGCACCTGCGGCGGCGGGTGCTGTACAAATTACAATCTGGGCTGTGATACCACACCTTCGTAATTCCCCCGCCCCTCCCTCTGACTGCCTGTTTCGTATTTCTACGGAACGACCATGAACTTCAACTTAGACGAACTCGTGCATGACAGTGACGACGACATTGTCGATGCTGTCGCAATTATTGTGGCACAAGATCAGCTTAACGAAGAGAATGACGGAAAGCACGGCGGATCCCGTCCTGCACGTAGTCCAAACGTCTTGCGAGACTTTTCGGGTGGGCATCGCCGCATAATGCTGGACTACTTTTGGGACGAGCGGAGCATGAGGGATGATGGATCGGGAGAGCGGGGTCCTGTTTACAGTGCTGACCTCTTCGAAAGAAGGTTCAGATTGCCGAAAGAGCTCTTTCTCCGCGTGCCCGACGGTGTCATGGAGAGAAACGCCTACATAAGACTGGGGATTAATTCGGACTTTACAGGACGAAAAGGAATCCATCCGCTGCAAAAGGTTGTTCTTCCATGAGCCAACAGTCCTACGGCATTCCAGGTGACGCTGTGGATGAGTACTGTAGGATGAGTGAGACTACCGCTCTGAAGTCCCTCCGACAGTTTTGCCGGGGTGCGGTTTCTGCATTTGGAATTGAATACCTGCGCGCGCCGACGCAAGTAGACCTTCAGCCAATTGAAGCGCGATTTGCACAGGTAGGATTTCCGGGCTGTACGGGATGTGTGGACTGTGCAGGGTAGGATTGGAAAAATGCACCAAAGGCACATCAAGGTCATAACTTAGGAAAAGAAAAGTCTTTACACTACGAATGGAAGTTATTTGCGATTTGGATCTTTGGATATGGCATTGTGCCTTTGGGTACCCTGGAAACATGAACTACATCAACATCCTTGATGTCAGCCCGCATTTTGCAGAGGTTTTAAGCGGAGTCTACCCTCCTTTCCGCGTGGAAAGTGTAATTGCAGAAAAAAGGTGTGATTGGTTCTATTACTTGGCTGACGGAATATATCCGAACTACAAGGTTTTTGTCAAGACTTTGCCGGAGACACAAAATCCGCGAACGCAAATGTTTCGAATGCGATAAGAGGCAGTTCGTAAAGCAGTAGAACGGGTTTTTGGGGTCCTGTTCGCTAGTTGGAATATTTTATATTCC